CAATATTTCATCAGTATGGGGACTGGATAAATGTTAAGTGATAGGTGTTTTCTGTGTTTAATCTGTGTCACTCTTTGATGGATAAAGCAATGTCATTGTAAAGTACTCTTTCCTAGCAAATATGTCATTAGTCTGTGGCTTCTAGAAAGTCCTCAGATAAAACCTTTGTTTCAGGGAACTTTCTTAACTTTCTATCAGTGATTCACCTATACCATTTTAACATTTTGAGATGAAGCTGATCTGAGCCATATGCCTTCCTGATTTCCACTCATCTGTTCTAATGTGGCCTGAAATTTCTTCACTATCTTTCCTGTCGTAGAAAATGTGTATGTCATAATACTTTTGGCCAATATATCCCCTGTGAACACTAATGTGAGGAATTTATTGCAATTTTTGTATTCTCTCTCCTTCCTCCTCCTCCTCCTCCATCACTAAATAATTCCTGTTGCCTCTTACAAGCCCTATTGATTCCATCAATTACCTTTTGCTCTTTTATATACTTGAGCAGCATTCCCATTACTGCCTTGATTGTTCTATGTGATCTATTCTAATTCTTGGGGGCTGACCGGATTGAAACATTGTAGACCAAATCCTGCCTTCAATTACCCCATGCCTAATTTGGCCCAGAGAGAAAAGACCACACTTTCTGCTAGTGTAAATCAACATATCTCCATTGAAGTCAATGGGACTATGTTGATTCACCATAAATAAGGGCCTGGCTCAGAAGCTTTTCAAGATAGCTTTCTAAATGAGTATGTGTGTGTGTTTGTGGCAGCATATCTCATCAGTTTGCCTCAGGAAATAAAAAAGTCAATGGCTGAAAAAAAACAAGAATATCCAAATACATTCACTCTATGGATTCTTACTGAAAGAGTTGACACTTGGGGTTTTAGTCTATGCTCTAAGGCAGTGTTCGTTTCATCTGTCCTACTCATGGGCCAGGTTTTCTTTCCTTCTCTGGTAATTAGGAATTCTCTCACTTTTAACTTTACTAAATGGATGCAATCATGTGATCCTGACATTCCAAATGACTAAGACCTTAAAGAGGAAATGAGGCTACATACACATTGATGAGATGAGGACTGACTAGCTGGTCGGAAAAGTGTTGTAGGTACAGTGCTTGTATTTGTCCTTACCAGTGGTGTGGCTGGAGCTTGCTTAAATGAGAGACTGGATTTCTAGACCTGAAAAGTAAGTGGGAAATGGAAAGAACTGCTAAAACTAATACTGCACTAATAAAATCATCCACCTAAGATCATGGAGGAATTTATCATGTATCTATAGTTGGGCTAGAACTTTTAGGCCTATACATAATTTCATGTAATCAAAAATAAGATTTCTTGTGTTTTCATCTCAAATATAGAAACCACTGAATTAAGATTCCATGGGTCTAAAGATATTCCCTTAGTAAACTGCACATCAACACATTCAGTACAATACATCAATTTTTGAAAACACAAGCTCCCTACCAAATAACCAACACTGTTTATCTTTAAAATATGGCTTGGATTTTTGAAAAAGAAATGTTTGTCACTTCAGAATATTTTATGGGTGAGGGTTCACAAGGCAAATGAGAGAAGTGGGTATAGTCATAATTTGACGATAGTCTAATGCCAACACAAGATTTTATGCATAATTCCTTCTTGTAGCATGCTATGCAAAAAATCATGATTGGCTCTTAAGGAAGAGGCTCAGCAATGCTATTCTGGGCAGCTTTGCTAGAGACCCTTTTAGTTTTTCCACAACATCTTGCACCCAGGACAATGAAGAGAGGGAAGATGCCAGCTGTACCAGTCTTAGGGCAGCATCTGCTGGTTATTCCATGGATCAACATAAATGGTTGTCATGGAAGATGCTGTTTGCTTTGTCTTTGTCTTCCAGACAAAGCAAACTGTTGAATCAATGACTTTCAGAGCCAGGGTGGGGATGGGGGAAAGCACAGGAACAACCATACAAAATTCAAATAACATCCCATGATGATAAACATGGGGGAGGCCCAATGAACCTTAGATCAAATTAACACCTCTGCATCTTGCATTTGGATAGTATTAGAGAATAACAGCCAAAAACTTAAAGAGACTGTCTGTGGATCCCCAACTTAGTCTGATCAGACTGTAGTTTAACTCCAGTACTCCTCCAAATATAGAGAAATATTCACTCAAGCTATCATTTTTAGGAAAACTTGTATATATTTAGAAGGGGTTGTTTTTCCCATGCTTTTTGAGAGCTAGGATGGATTGGAAATTACCAAATAAATAAGAAAACAGCTATGGAAGGCAAAATAATGAAACTTTAACACATGCAAGCCTCTATAGAAATGATAGTTGGGATTTATTTTCTACTGGGGAGAAATTGCACTTAGATCAAGCTGCTGTAAAGAATAATTCATAGCATTGTATTTTATATGATCATATAACTTAACAAGGTTTCTTTCCTTAAATAAATAAATAAAAATGAAACATAAAAGACAACAAGTTTTCTGCTTTGGGTATCCTGATGTGAATCAAGATGAATATGTAGTTTACTAATCAGGTTAGTTTTGGTTAAAGGGATGCAACAATTTGGATTTACAGTGGGCACTGGTTGACATTGCAGGCATTGACACGATCAACACAAGCTACAGCTGGATTCTTTTTGCAGTACCAGAGTGACCGGTGGCAACATAGTGGAAGTTATGTATTTTTTAGGACCCAACAAGTGAAAAATGAGGGGGGAAAAACCCCACCAACAGAATTCATGCTACACTTAGTACTTGAACTATGGGGGTTGCCTTGACATACCTTCATGATGATTTTTTAAGTTAATCTAAGGTGTCTGTCTTTGTATTGCTGGGGGGGGGTGTGTGACATGGAGCAGTGTCAATGAAGTACGTTGGCATGTATCCACCACATCAGGTGCAATATCCATCACTAGAACTGTATCTACGGTTGTTTCTTAAGCAACTCTCCATCAGTGAATCCACCTTACTATTCCCTTCGCTTTTAAACTATATCAATGTTATCCATTAGCTTGGATGCTTTTCTACCTTCTGACTAAAGCTTTTGTAATCTAGCGCCCATTCTGTTCTGAGAGCCCCTTGACAGATAGCCACCAGCCATCCGTGCTCAGCCTCACCACGCTCAGCAACCCTTATTTCAAACAATACACATAATTGGATTAACTAAATTGCAGCTAATCAATTTACTGGAAGAGGAGACACTGAATGATGCGAAGATGTTTCTCTGGGTAATTCCACGGAGCTAGCTCCGAGCGCCAATTGGGTTATTTCACAGCACAAGACGCCAAGTTGGCTATACGAGTGTCGTTACTCACATTTAAAGCCATTACAGTATCTTAGATGCAGCGATAACTTCATTCAAACTCTGTCACTAGACAGAGGCTGAAATCCCCATACTTTTGGCTGCAACTTTTTGTTCTAATTAAGAAAGCTAAAACACTCAAGGTCCAGGAAGAATGTTTCTTGCTCAGTTGAAAAACAGATCAATCTCCCTCATGCTAAAGTCTTGTAGTCAGAGGTCGCTTATCCAGACGTTCCCCAGGAACATCAGACACAGATCTTATTTCACAACGCTGTGTCAAAAGGAGAGTGGGAAAGAGAAGTTTATTCAGAAGTTCTGCTTTTGTAAATTACAAGGGTTTCCAAGTGACCCACTCTTGATAACTGTACATATTCCTCCTTTGGCTACACTCTGCAGGAACTAGTATGCAACAAGTCCCAGGAGTGCTTTCCGTGTTAGCTAGAGTGAACGTGACACTAAAAAGCCAAATGTTTCCTTACCTGTCACCAATGCAAATCTCCAGAGCCAGCTCATCTTGCACAGCCCCAGGTGCGAGCCAGGAGGTTGTCGGAAAGTGATCTGGAGGCTGAGTTTATTGTATAGAGAGTGTCCAGAAAAGACTTTCCTCGGGAACTTTCTGTCAAACTCCCAATTTACTGGGAGGCGGTTAGTGTCACGTTTTATACCATGTTAGTTTGTAATCACTGGTAACCTCTCTCATTCATTAAAATCACGTAAGAACTCAAAGGGAAACGTGTCTCTGAGCTAAGGCGTTTGCGTAAATCTTTAGGTTTTTTAAAATCCCTGCCAGTTGCATTCTGTCTTCTGTAGTCACAAAAGGTGGTGGAGAGTTTAAGCTTGCGGATATTGCAAAGGGTTATTAGATTCATAAGTCACACCAAGTGGTGGGCGATCCACTGAGCAAAGCAGAAGTTCTCACATGATGACTTCAAACAAGACACATTACCTTCCAGCATCTGTTGGAGAGACTGGATTTTAAGACACTTCTGTCTCCAGGACAGCAAAGAAACAATGGTGAGTACCAATAAAAAATCTCTTTCTATAACTGCAAAAAATGTTTGAGACGTTGCTTAACAACAGTATCTAATCTCATGGCTCAGCTTTCTAGTACCTAATATGCCAAAGAATACAACCCACTGAGGCCGGGTGAATTGTGTTTTAGACAGTATAACTTTAATTGAATGCTCTTTAAGATTGCGATGCAAAGACTGCGTATAACAAACTTGGAGCTGGGGACCTGGAATATCTGAGTGCTCAGTGCTGATGGCTCTGTCAAGTTCTCCTCTCGTTCACCTTTTCTATATGGCCATAGAGTCTGATTTATGTGTGGCATATGTGGGTATTTCCTTGACATTTGTATGCACCATTGATAGAGAGTTAATGCAAGGAACTATAATGGCTACAAGGAGCAGCATCCCAATATTAAGAACCCTGGGTCTATCTACAGATGCTGGGGGGAAGGGGAAGAGAAAGAAGTCCATAAGTGAATGCAGCCGATAATGAAATGGGTGATCCTCTTGCAAAGCAAAGGGTCCAGTCAACATGTGATCATCTATTAACAGGACGGCTTTGGCAAGGCAATATTCACGTGACAAAGCGTGGGAAATGAACGGAACTGTCTAAAGCGGTACCAAGTGTCACTTAATTAAAGTATAGGTTTTAGTCCTTTTCCTCCTGGAGCACCCTGTGCAGTCCTGGGAGCGCTGGGGGGAAAGGGGGTTCGATCAGTACCTTGGACAGGGGCACTGGGTTAGGCAGAGGTGGGAGCACCCCAGGTATCTGCCTCGACTCCGGAGTGAATCCTGTAGCCCTTAAAAGGCGGCTATCCCTGAACATCAGCTTACACTGAAAGATCAGGCTGAAGGAGAGACTCTCGTTTAGGAAGCTGATCGCACTTGTAACCAAGCCCCAGTTCTGTCGCCTCTTTGGAGCTGGCTGAAGTTGCATTCCTAGCGGCGCAGGCTGGAATAGGGGGCAAAAAGAGTCTTGCAAGCTCCGGGGGTTGGTATAACGGTGTCAACTTTGGGAAATGCAAGTGTTTATCTCCAAGATCTAGCCACTGCTTGTGGTGTTAGCTGTGACTAAGGTAAGCACAGGGGTGCTAACCCCCTAGCAACAACACCTCTAGCTGCTAACTGTCTATTATGTGGGGATTGTTTCCTGCTCTTTGCCTAGTTTTGTTACCTTTGTTGCTGACCTGTGTGTGGAAAGGAATAGAAAAGGTAGGAGAATCTTTATGAGATTTCACTGAGACTTAAGTTAACTTGTATCTGTTTAAATCTAAGAATCTCTTTTCTCTCTGTGTGTGCATGCTTTAGATAAAGATTAAACTGATCTTTAGATAATGAGATGCCGCTGATCTTTAGATAGAGATGTAACTGATCTTTAGCTACACAGAGCTTAACTGATTTCTAGATAGATCACTGATGCATCTATGTGTGTTACATATGATAGTATGCAAGAACTGTGCATGTCGCTTAGAGTGTTGCTAAATCAAGATCTGTATCTACTTTGCTATAATTAAAACGGGGAGCTTCTGAAATTAACAACACTGAAGCCTTAACGCAAAAAAACAATCGGAGACCATTCTGGTGAGCCTTCTGCTCATCTATCTCTTTTTTCCCCCCCTTCGATTCTTCCTACGTAGAAATGTAGCTAATAATATTTAGTCTCCGGGCTAAAAATAAGCTCTGGAAAGTCAGCAGTTTGGAAAAGCAGCAGCAGTAGCAGAAGCTTCTCGCAGGTAGCGAGGCTCCGGGGGTCTCCGGCTCTTTAAGGGGGCTGTTCTCTCATACACAGAGAGAGTTTATTTGTCTTTCCCCCTCTCGAGCTTCCCCCAGCACTTGCCGGAGCGGAGTGGGTGTCATTCCACCAGTGCACGGGGATCGGCTCGGAGGAGACTCGCCTTCCCTGCCTTCTCTCCCCCTAGCCCAGTTTCAAGTCAGTCTGCCCCTCTCGGTGCAAAGGGAGCCCCGTGGGTCTGGGCTGGGGAGGTAGATCCCCGGGGGCGCCGTGGGGGGGGGGAGGGAGGGAGGCAGTGCAGCTGGGGAGAGGGGCGTGCAATGTCTTCTCAGCCTCCCAGGGAGGATCGAGCTGCTACACATCCAGTAGGCGCGCAATGGCTTTAACTGGGGAGGCAGAGCCTCGCTCGGTGGAAACCTCTCGCCTCGGCTTCCCCCGCGCGGTTGCAATGCAGGCTCAAGGCGCGGGGCCCTGGGAGCCGGGGGCGGGCGAGGAGGAGGAGGAGGGCGGGGGGTGTCTCCGAGAGTCACGAATCCGCTTCGCTGCGCGGACGCTGGCGGTTCACGCGCAGCCCCTGGCGCCCTCCGCAGCCGGAGCAGAGGCGGCTGCCCGGGCCCCACCCCAGGGGCCGACCCGCTCTTCCCCCGCAGAGCGGTGATTCCCCTCGCCGGAGCCCTTTGTTCTCGGGTCACCTGCGGGCTCCGGCTCGCCCCTGGGTGGGCGCCCCCGGGCGGGCCGGCGCTCCCCGCACGCCCCTCCCCGGGGACTGGACGATTTCCTGCCCCCTCCGGCAGCACCGCGCTCACGTAGCTCGGGGAAGAAGGGAGTAGCCCGCGCCGGCTGGGCGATTTCACAACGGGGTGTGGTTACAACACACACACACGGCAGGGAGGCACGGGGCGCCCGGCTCGGCACGCAAACGGGGGGAGAGGGGGTGACAGTGATTGGGCCTCCCCCCCGGAGCCCTGTGGGGAATCGAGCCAGCGAGCCCTGTGGGAACTGCCTCCTCTCCTCTCTCAGCTGTGTCGGAGGGGGGATTTCTGCTTCAGCGGATGCAATTCCAAAGCGTGCGGCGAAGGAACTCCGAGGCACCAGCATCACCGCCACCTCCCACCTGCCCAGCTGGTGCCGCTTTAAATACGGCTCGGCAGGGCTTGCAAGCTGGAACGGGAGACTCATGACGGAGGGGGGAGCCGTTAAAGGCGCAGCGCTCCCTTTCCTTTCCCTTTACCTCCCATGGCCTCCCAAAATCTAACTCACAGGCGGGGAAGAGGAGTAAATATTGTGACACTCCGCACTGCCCGGATTGATACGGAAAAAAATCGGCTGTCAGTCTAAATTGCGGAGTTCGCTTGCCTAGTGGGTTGCGAATCCCTGCCTCAGACTAATACAGTGGCTAAGGTTTCCCGTGAATGCATCGGTAAGGGAGGTATTATCCAGTTACCGTAGCTGCCAATTTATCTGACAGTTGAACCGAGAAAATTGTAGGGCTGCTGGTGGTGTTCTGGGAGGAAGGGAATTTTCTTACTCCAACAGGAGACATAGTTCGCCGTTCCTGATGCGACGAACCTCAGGCTAATCCAAAGCAGTGTCATATAACTCTTAGCTCAACAGCCCTTGTCGCTTGTGATAGGGGGACTTGATAAACAACCTCCCTGGAAAGGTACTTTGTAAATATTACACCGAATGTTCAATACGGACACCGAATTCCGCAAATAAAGCTAAAATGGAAATACGTTGTTCTAATATACATAAGAAAACAATCAGAGTTTAAATGGTTAACACACACACACGCCCCACTTCCTCCTCAGAAAACAAATACAGCAATCCCATGGGACGTCACGCATATTATTGTTTATTACATTTTCAATCATTAAAGTCTAATAATCTAGCTCCCCTACTGGAGAAACACTTGATGAGAGTCCTGGACTTGGTTGTAGAGGAGTCAGTCAACATCTCCATGTTCCTCCATAGCACAATGACACAGGGAACTGGCTGCTGAGGTTACTATGAGGGTTGTGAGTTGAGGATGGGCAAGTGGGGGGGGGGGTTGTTGTGATCTGCATGTTTTTCCCCCATTTCCTGCACTTGCTTCTGAAACTTAACCTTACTCGGAATGCCAGCTAACCCAAAATAAGAAGCATTTATTAACCAAACACAAGATGGTGGGAGACCAGACAAGAAGAGGTCAACATCAAAAGTGTTCCCTCTTCATCAACTGGTTTTAATGAACTCCCCCTAATCTGCAATTTCCTTTAACTTAAAATCATCTTTAACCCCCCTTCCCAACTAGAGTTTTCCCTTTGTCACCCAGGGATTGATTTACTATATGGACACCTCTATTGTTAATTAGTTGCTGTGTTCCTTGCTAAAACTCATCGAATTCCAAAAATAAATGATTCTGTCATACCTTATGTTGCCAGGGAGTTTCTATTGATGTGATTCTTCTACTCCATGGATAATTTTATATATTTCCATCTATTTTAACTGTACAACTGTTACTTCTAGCTCTTGAATATTCTTTTTTCCCACATTTCTCTCTTGCTCTCCCTCTCTCTTCTTTAGCCAAATTCTACCCATTCCTGGTAAAGATCAGTGGACATGGGATGTCTCTAACAAACAGGACTGGGCCAAATTCGGATACCCTTTCTCCCACTGGGCAATAAATTACTCTGCAAGTAGTGTTCTCACTCTGTATTGGTCCCAAATGCCCTTTATGTAGGTAGCACCAGCCAAAGGGAAGTATGTTCTTTCTGCATATGACTAGACATGAGGCTAAATATGGCTCCTTCCTTTTGGGCATAAGATTAGATGGAGATCACAGAATGCAGCATTTTTCATGCTATGCTCTTTGTGAAATTAATATACCCCATGCACAATTTAGGATAACAGATTGGGGGGTGAGGCCAGCAAAAATGGCAACACTGTCTTTATTGTGGAAATATGCAATTCGGAAAAGCAAAGATTGAGAACTAAATGATTGAATTTGTAATCCCCCTTGCCGTTCATGTTCAGTGAATCAACCTAGCCACGCAAATTCTGGACACATGATGAATTAAAAGACTTTGTAGTCTTGGCTATTAGAATTTGATACCCGTTCTCAGAATAACAGCTCATAGAAGTGCAAGTCTGTCCTAAGGGACACTTCTGTTTTCAGTCCCAGCTTCTGCCCCCCCCCCCCCCCGGTTACAAGGCTTGTATTTCCATGAGGCTCCAGCCAATGAGGCTGTCACCACCCTCACCCCTTCCGTCTTGTGGCAGCCCCATTATCATACATACTGAGAAGGCACCAGGGGCAAGTGGACACCAGACCACATATGACTGAACATGCCACATGTCTCTGGGACAGGCTCTGACTAATACCAGTGCAGTGCAAAAAACATGAACAACGTCTGTGACTTCCTACACCCACATGCCAGAGAGATACCATGCAGTGATTGCTCTGCTTAACTGAAAATATCTCTGAGAAATTCTCTTGCAAATGTATGGCCAGAAAAATATACTAGCCAGCATGGAGTGCGCATAACAACTGCCCACCCATTTTCATTATTTCACAAATGTGTGGTGCGTGCTTGTGAGTGTCAGCATTAACATTTCCATCTGTTTCTGTATTGTTTCTATTCTTAGTTGATATATGTTGGGTGTAGGTGTCTGAAAAGGATTTTTCCTTTTTCTGGGTTTCATGAAAGAATAAATGAGAGCCAAGTGCTAAAATAAATTGATTTGTGAATTTGACTAGGGCAATGTACAATAGAAAAGATTCTGGACGAACCTGTGAATTAATAGGAGTCTGCATAAGTAAAGATCTCAGGGTTTGGGGCCTTTGTGTGCTGCTAGGAAGTCCTCTGCTGAGCTCACTGGTATAAAGAGTAAATAAGTTAGAAATATAATTCCCACAGTCACAAAGGAACAATGTCTTTGCCTGACTTTCTCACACTTGCAGAATGTGCAGTATCAGTTACTAATATTTTGGCCTCCTTCTGTGCTTGCAATTTTTGGGCTCAGTTTTTCAAACCATTTATGCACATGACTACCTTTCTTTATCTGCTTAGTCCCACTCAGCTCTTTAGGGCAATCTCTATGGGACTATGTGCAGGAATAAAGTTATCCCATGTTTGCGTGTTTGCAGGATTAGGCCCTTAGTTGCATATATGTTTTCAAATCTTCTGTTGTCCATGTACTCATAACTTTGGCAAACAGAAGACTCTACATACTATATATAACTTAAACCCTGTATGGGTCTTCCTCTGTGGCAAAATTGAACATGGCTCTGTTGCCACTAAGGCTAATAGAAGTTTTGCAATTGGCTGCAACAGGAGTACAGCCTGATCCCATTGACTGTAT